TTAATTTATTTATTTATTAGTATTCGAAAGTTTTTTTAATATTTTTAAAATTTAACCGTTGTTAAATTTTAAAACCGAAATGTTTACAAATATAAGTTTTATTATTTCTGCACTAAACGGAATAACTTCATATAAAACTTTTCTTTCCTTTGAAGCCAGATCCTTTACATTTTTATTTTTTTATTTTTATCTGGTTATATATCCTGTGTCCTCTTTATTCGTATTTCTCTTCCAAAGGATTCACTATCAGATTCTTGCCATTCATCTAGAAGCGTTGCCACTTTTTCGCTTGAGAGTCATTTTTCAAGTCTTAGAGAGAGAAATCTCATGATTATCCTTCGAGATTCGAAGTTAGATGGAGGACTGACTCTGTAGAGACCTTCGAATGCTACGAAGAAGGATTGCAAAATCGGATTCTATTCTGCATAGGATTTGAGCTAAGCGAATTGCGATTAAACTAGATAGTGCATGACACCTAGAAAGTGGCAAGTGAAATCTATTGATAGATTGTGTTTGTGTGTTCATAAATCACATAGCATTCAATTTAAATTGCAGAATAGAATATTTAATGAATGCCTTTACAATTTTTCCTTATTACCATTATCATTTATTTCATTGTGTATGTTTATAAATATCTCTGCATTATATTTTACCATGTTTATTGATAAAAAGTTCGTGTTAAAAATTTGCTAAATGTATTTTTGTTAACGCTTTGAAAGCCTTGTATTATTTTGTCGATTTTAACTGCAGAGCCTAGGTTTTAGGTTCCAAGCATCTGCCAGCTGAACCACAGAATTAAAACCATTAACCATTGTTAAGTATTGAAAAGAGAAAACAGTTGAAATATTCAGATTATGCGTAACCGAATAATGGTAAATAAAATAAGGCGTTTGCTAAATTGCCTTATGTTTGAATATCTGCGATTGTCGGATTTATGTGGAATATAAATTTCTTAAATGTCTAGATCTGAAAGTATGTATGTTGGATGGGGGAATGAGGGTTGGAACTTTGCGTAATATTGAATTGATTAGCGCCAAGCGGTAAAGTTGCTGAACACTGATACTTCGGTCCGTGGCTTGAGTCCCGTCGAACGGGGTGGCTGCATGGGCCTTTTCCTACTTTCGCCCTTCTGTAATGTTTATACGAGCCAGTTTCCCTTAAAAAGTCCTCCACTAAAGCATCCCTCCCCTCAATAGATATCCCTTCGAGTGTTTTGCCAGAATCGCATAAGCCAAACCATTATCATATAAAATCATTGTTTTGTTCCATAATGCCTTTTCACATTGTACTTTTTAAATACAATGACAGACAGGCTTTTGATAAATTAAGCACATTAATTTGGAGTTTTGTTCACTGCATTGTCTTTTTATCAACAATTATTCTTTTTGTGCTCGTACTGAAAATTTACTATACTGAAGACACAGCTGTCAGTCTGTCTGTACCCATGCGCATCGAGACCGAGTTTGTTAAACGTGGACGCACGTGATTTCTACAGCCTTGTAGTTATTGCTTTTTTGGCCAATTAGAAACCATGACGTCACAATTCCAACGTGCCTCTTTTAACAGCTGCCGTGACCATCCATACTGATTTTGTTCAGAAGGGTCAGAATGGATTTCGTAATTTTTACTGCGGTAACAGTGCGTATGAAACTATAAATTTCGTAAACTCCGCCGCAGGCGCAAAATTTTACAATATTGACCGCAGGTTAGCCATCCTACCCCGCAGTTGTATATACTAAGTATTATACTGTCGCAGTAGTGGTTGTGGGAGAACATTAACACGAACCTGGTTTCTATTGTGTGAAAGCGCAGCCTATGCTGTCCCAGACGGTAAATGACGTCCTTGAACACAGTTTTATAGTCTTTTTTTCTCTCCCCCGTCATGGTCTCCAACAGCCGAGGTTTGATAGGTGCCCAGTGCACCGGTTCAGCGATGGGGTCAGGAAAGAACTCGTTTTATGTAAGTCTGCTTTCAGCAGTAAGGAATTTGTTCTATTCCCTCTCCGAGGTGTTTCAGGACTAGTTTCCACCTTCTGCTTAATATGGAGGGTCTTCAGTTGGGAACCGTATCTCTCTAGTTGCATTCTGTTTGCAGGAAGAACGTACAAATTTAACTGATCGATTGATCCCTGATTTAGATGGAGCCGAGGTAATCTGAAGATAGCAATTTTGTTTCAGTACCTGAAAGCAATCCTGTGAAGTTAGTTTTGTTACATTGACAGTCTGTATGTGGAAAAGCAAACTTTACCTACTTGCTAATAATAATGTTAAGTTCTGTGTTTATATATCGAAATGCAGTAGTAGAACTATCCGAAATATCCGAATTAATTGAAACCAAAAATTATCCGAATAATAGAATTTTATGATAAGCTAAATATACCGCCTTATGGATCTGTTTTCTTGACGAGTTGCCATGTTCATTTTCGAAAGCAGAAATTTATTTTTAAATAAATTCTCAGTTTTTCTTCTTATTTGAAAATTTTCTTGCATTTCTTAAGATTTCTATTTTATACCTTTCCATCGTCTTAGTTCTGTCTTCGTCTATATTTCTTTCTTCCTCTTTTTTTCTGTTCGGTGTCATATGTTAATTTACAGTTCCTTTTAAACGATACGTTTTTTGCCAAAAATAAGAAATTGCAAACAGAAAGCATTGCAACATGCTCTAAGAATTACAAAATATAACTCATTGCCGTTGTGCTGCATGTAAAACAAAATAAACTTTCCTTAGGAAGGTAGTTAACATAACTTCACCGCGTTTATCTAGTCTATTTTTACAAAATGGGCACTTTTAGTGGATTAATAAAGACTTCTTTTTGGGGATTAGTAAAGATTTTGTCTTTGCTTCGTAGAAATAAACGCAGAATAATCAGTCTGTAGATAATATGAAATTATTTTCACATAATGTATATAGACTACTACTTATTCCAATATGCGCGCCGTACGCGTTCATCTAAAAGAATTCTAGAGCTTTCTTAGGCATACGTACTATTTATAATTTTGTATTATTTATATCAGCGAAATTATTTTTGAAATGTAAATAAATTAATAATAAACATAATTTTAATTGATCTGAAAAATAAAACAGACAGTGAAAGATTGGGATTATTCTATATTCAAATACCGTAAAATTTAGCAGTATTGCACATGTGCATTAGACATGATGATTCGTTCCTAAGCATTAATTTTTTAATTATTGGATACTTGATTTAACATTAGCGAGCTATGCACTTAGTTCTTTGACTCGAATAAAAATCCGATTAATAAAGATTTTAAAATGAAACTACAAATGACCATCTTGACCTTGTAAAATAGAAAGTTTTTCCGTTATTTTTCCATCATATAAATTTAAAAGTCGTACTAATTTTTTCGTTTGGAAACTTAAAATGTTCTGCTTCAGAAGTCTAATGTCAGAATTTGCCTTTCAGTCGTGCCCCAAATGAATACCAGATTTCTTAGTGAAAATATCAATTGATCACTTACGTTGATCGAGTCGTACGTCAGCATTCACGCTTTCAGCTGTCCATTGTGAGCTGTCTTCACTAATTTTCAAATTAACCAAATACACTTGATAAATTACAAAATACGCGCCAGCCAAAACTATCCACTCAGTAATGGATGTTTATGAACGATCCAGCAACAGTGTAATTATACAATTCAAATTTAGGATCAATAATAAAGTACTGTTTTTTCTCTGATTTAATTAACTGCTTCATTAACGTATCTACATTCCATATAGAAGTAAAATTTGTGTAAAAATTGAAAAATTTTCAGATTTCTCTAAAGGCCTTATAAAATGTCTATGAGATTTTGCCAAGCGACATTTCTACAAAACTCTGTTTTATGAAATCTTATGAAATTTCTATAGAATTTCATAGAGAAGCATTTGTATAAAACATTACCTATAAACTCTGTAGAATTTCTATATAGTTCATCAGCTTCTGTAAAAATATTTCATAATTTCTTCAGAATTGCAGTTATCGTCTGTCTATATGAATTCGATACATGTTAGTACAACTGATTTTTTGGTAGGTTATTATTAAACATTCCTTACGTTCCTAATTTAAAATGATTATTGTATTTCCAAATTACTTTATGCATACAATATACAAATACTTTGTGAAATACGCTGAATTTTTGCAAAACATTAATTACATTCAACAATAATTTAGTCTAATTCTTATATATATATAATTTATCTCTAAAAGCTACAAGTATTTTAATTAATGCTATTATCAGAAGAGTAAGAAATCTAATGAGTATATTCTATGCATGTATTCCATATTAACAGAGTGAACTTTAGCCATAAAAATGTAACTCTTACAGTCTCTTGTTTAAATGTTAAAATATTAAACTGTAAAGGCGTCTTAACATATGTGTAAGTCTGTGCACACATCTATACATAGTGTAATAGGTATTGCCATTTTTTCAGCTATCGTTTTTCATGTTGTAGGCTGGTAAATACCAGATCGGAGACTTTATGGGAAAGTTGGGCAGCTAACGTGATGTACTAAGAAATGTAATAACTATTCTTTGTCAAAAGAGTCGACTTTAGCTATAAAAACATAACTTTTTTATAGTTGCACTCTGTTGTTTAAATGTTAAGCTATAAAGATGTATTAGCATTTGTACAGGTCTTTGCACACATTCATTGTATCATAGCATATGGATATTTTTATTACTAGGGCAATTTAATGCTGTTTTACTCATCATCATTATTCCCCTGTCATCAATTAACCTAACAAATATGAAATATTATATTGTAATATTAAGATTTTGCTATATTTGAACTACTTTTACACTGCTTGTTAATATTGTAATGTGCTGTTTTTTATGCGTCTACATTTTACTAACTGTTTATTAGTGTCTTTATTACTTCTCTACAAACTTTTGCTTAATCTACTAATTTTCTTTTCAAATGAATTTAATTAGTCCTTTTTTACACTGACTTTCTTTTCTAATGCCTAATTTCCTTCCTTTTCTTTCTTTCTTTAACATTTTAGCTCCCGAGTCATCTTTTGATGACTTGTCTGATGATATCAGCCGCCCTATTAGTAAGTACCTTACTAGCTTTATGTGATGTATTAGTTTATTAGAGGTTAACATTAATATTTATTTATACAAATGCTTAGTACCAAAATTTGTGTTTATATTTCTACCACTGCCTATATTTGAAATTAGAAATAATTAAATAAAATGTGCATTTAACTAATTCTCCTTGGACTTCTCATATCATTGTATCAAAATTTTATTACAGTAGTTGCAATTTCTGATGCCGTGGAAAATAAATGTAGTAAACTAATTTATAATTTTCCTTTTGTCTCTTCAAACGTTTAATAGTTTAATAATAATATAATTTAGTGTTCTAGATGTTAATACCATTCAAATAGCAGAATAAGCACTTAAAACAATTAAAGCTACTTATCAGGTGCATATTGACACTTTCTAAACTATCGATATTTATCTTATGTTAGCAGATATTATCACTGTGCAAAAGAAAACACACTATTTAAAATTAAATTATTCAAATTAATTATTAAATAAAATTAAATTTTAAATTATTAAACACAGCAATTTAAAATAAAAATTTTAATTTTTTAATAAGAATTATGATACAGTAAAAAAAAAGAGGAATGCATAAACTCGGCATTGTGCATCGGCTGTCTACTGACACATTTCATTACTGCGCACAGAACATTAATCTTATTTGCAGTTAAACCCCTTCCCATGTGCCATTGTAACACAGATATTTTCCATTTCATTCCAGGTACATGTTTTAAAAATAACAAATAGTTTTCAAAAAACAGGCAACACTTGACTCTAAGAAAGAAATATCCAGTGGCGACTCGTAATAAGCACTGTGGAAGTGCAGCACCCCCTATTTCCACTTATTATTATTTTTAATATTTGATATAGTGTGCCCTTTAGTCTTTAATTCTTTCTTTATACTTTTACAATACATAATCCGTAAGCGTAATATCAGTAGCCATTTGTGAAAAAGGTACGAAAGTGTTTGTTTGGAACTGCGCGCGTCACAGTTCGAGCGGCGCGGTGTTTGGCTGTTCTGCGCGTGCGTACACAGAAAGCAACAGACGTAGAGAGAAGAGCATTGTCACTCTTGCAGTGCCGCAATTCTGGCATGTTGTTGGAAACGTGATTTCTTTTTACTCCGCGCGTGTGGTATTCCTCCACAAGGTGGAACTTCATCATAAGGACCATAAACAGAGTTCATGAAAATTTGCAACCTTTAAAAAATTTCCTTACTGAAATTCAATCAACATCAAATGCAGATGAAGCTATTGCAAAAGCAACAGGAATTTTAAAATATCTAAATGATGATAATTTCAATTTTTTAGTTAGAGCTTTTTTATCAGATGCCTCATGTTGAAATAATATACAACTAAATGCCATCCAGAGAAATTAGTGTTTAAAGTTAATGAATATATATCAAATTTCAAAACTGCTATTTTAGAATTAAGAAATTCAAAGTATTGTGAGAATCTTTCAAAGACACTGATGGCAGAAGCTAAGGAAATATGTGACTTTATAACTACGTATTGATATTATACGCAGATATTCTTCCATTAAACACTTAGCAGCTGCTAAATTGTTTAACAAGAAATGTTTCGCTAGTTTTAGGAATGCACATTCTACACAAGAAAGAGTACTGACCACTGAAGCATATCCAATGATTGACAAGGAAAGCTTGAAACTGAACTAAAAGTATTCTATTGTAGGTCTGATATCCATGAATACTGCAAATTAATTGAGCTACTGAAATTTATCTTTGAAAATAAGCCAGATGGTGTTCTTAGTGAAATTACGAAACTAATAAAAATTCTCTTGAGAGTTCCCATGACTACATCAGAGGCAGAACGCTGCTTTTCAACATTGAAAAGAATGAAAACTTTTCTAAGAAGCACTAGGCATTCGGAAAGACTAAATGTGCTTGCATTACTTCCAATAATGAAACGTTTCCTCAGTTGTCATCCAGAGATCAAGGAGAAAATTATTGATTTTTTCGCGCAGATTAAAACAAGAAGAATGGATTTCATTTTTAAATGAATAGATAAAGATTGAACTGTAACAATTTTGGTTAAAGTAATTAAAAAATGTTTAATTTTTTTCTTGTAAGATTTTATGAAGTTTTAAAATAAATTTTCTTTTTATGCATGTTTGTTTCCTTTTACACAATTTTAAAACAAAGGTTAAATTTTTTTGGAACAGCACCCTCACTAATTTTAGCCACGAGCTGCCACTGGAAAAACAAAATTGATAAATTTGGTGAGCATCCAATACTTCACTTTTACAAAAGTTTTTAGAAATCTGAGTTCAACGTATGACCATATTCTTGATATGGCCATCCTTTTGTGACATGATACATGTCTGCCTGTAATCTAGTTTATCCCATGCTTATTCTGGCAGTGCCTTTTTCTTTTGATTGATAGGTATTGATGCATAATATCTATTCCATTAAATACCACAATAACTAAATGAAACAGATTAGACCAAGCCTATCTAATTAAGAAATTACCTAACGAATTAGTCATGCAATTGGCGATAATGAATCATATTCTTCTTGGGTATTTCAATTGTAGGATTTAAGGCAGTGGGAATTCTATCTCTAGAGCTAATTGTAATAAATTTATACACCTTCATTGCCTCTTCATTGAGTAGGTAAATACATAGAAGTTAACAGGGGAGGGGACTCGTTGAATGGTAGATGCTAAAATTATTGAATAATTAAATTCATTGCTTTCAGTCACATTCATAAGTTGGAAAAATCCGTTTTCCTATTCATAAACATTGTGTATAATTTCTGTGAAGTTATGAACCTTGCTTAGTATTTTGTTCAATTCTTTATTTAAATAATTTGTTATTGAATTTAGCAACTTGTTACAGTACTGGATTTTGAAAGTGTTGTTTTTATTTATTTTTAACAATCATTAAATCAAACTCATTTTTATTATAATTAATTATATTTGTTTGTATTTTTAGTTGCTGAAAAGCTAAAAAGACTTTATCCAGAAAATGAGAGACTCATAGCCAGCATACCTAGTCGAATTTATGAAGTAATTTATCCTGTTCAAATTCGCCAGCATGTTAAGTTAGGTATTTCCACAAGAGAAACTGGTGCCAATAAAGTATGTATTTCATAAGTTTTGATTTTATGCTTAATATTATGTTGATTGTAAAGTACCTATAACTGAGTGGGTAAAAAAAATGAAATTGGGGAAAATACACTTTTTAGTTCCTGTGTATCTTTTAAAAGCCATTAGGCATTTCAAGAGATACTTTAATATGAGTATTTACTCATTATTAAAAGCATGCTTTCTATTTTGCATTTGTTTGTCATGTGAAGGCAATGTTATTCAATATGCATGATATCTAGAAATTGTCATACTCGTTACGGTACTGTACCCATAAAATAATTTATGCTTTGAGTTGGTGTTTAGAGGAGCAAATTTTTTTTTATTCTTTCTAAAACTAAAATTTTAATTTTTGGTTTATTTTCTTTTTCTAGTTGTAACATTTTTAAAAAATCCTTTTTTTCCCAATTATTAAATGTTATGAAAAGATATATGAATAATTTTAATTCATAGTAATTCTTTCAATGTGTATATGAAAAATATTTCCTTCTGTGTGGGATCAATTAAAATTATGTATATCCTAGAATTAATCATTAATAATGCTTCAATAAGTGCTCAAACATTTGAAGTGTAGCAAAAAGTAAAATATTTTTTGTGTGTAGGGGGTGAACAGCTGTTAAATATATTTTCTTTCTGACAATAAAAATAAGTCTTTGTGGTAGGGAATTTTTAAAAAATAATCTTTATCATCATTAGGATATAAAAGATCAAATTTATGTGTAATAAAAACTGTCCCCCCAGACAGAGTTTTATTTTAAAATAATATATTTAATTAACTTTTGGGCTCTATGTCTAATTTAATATTAAGATAACTTTTAGATTTGTTATATTCTTGTTTGTCTTTATCTTGTATTCTTAATTTAGATAGAGCTATTTGTGATGCTCTTGTTTGTTGTCGACTTTGGACATTAGATTATTGCAGAATTCGGGGTAGTGACAGTACCTTTTTTTTATTCAGTAGCATTCCAGTTTAGCTTGGGACACCTCAAAATATGATAACTGTAAACCTAATATTCATACATCTTATACCATGAATTACACAAGAATGCTTTCAAATCAATGCATTTCATGTGATCCTAATTCATGGAGCCATTACAGTCACACGTATCTCTGTTCTACTGTGTTTTCATATCTCATCCTGTCAATATGGAAACTGTCTTTGTGAACAACCATTAAATTAGTTCTATGTCTTTGCAAGCCATTCCTGTATTTGTTTCATTTCCTGTGCATATACAATAAATTTTTGCTAAACATGGCTTTGTGGAATGCAATTTTGTGTTCACACCTTACGTCTCAATTTAATTTGTGCAACATGAGAATTTCAAGTGCACAAAGTACACTGCTGAATTTCAACCACATTGCAATAGTCCTTTTAATGACTTGGTTTAATGGTTTGAAAATTCATTTATTAAAGAAGTAAGATATTACTTAGAATGACAAAACCTGAACTTTAAATTTAAAGTTCTCCTGATTCTCAATAATGCTTCAGGATGCAGTATTGAAGCCCTCACAACATTGCATCTGAATATAAGGGTTTCAGTCCTTGCAACAAACATCACTTCCTTAATGAAACCAATACATCTAGGAATAAAAATAATATAATAATAATAATAATAATAATAATAATAATAATAATAAAAAAACAATCAAAGCGTATATTAGGTCAGGCATGTTTACATCTCTGAAAAAAAAAGCATTGCACAAAAGAAAGCACAGCACACTAATAGCATTTTGGAAGTAACACAACATAAGACACTCTATAGAGATTTAACTCTCATAGGAACAAGTAAATTCGTCAAAAATGAATGCTTGCTGGCATTAGCACTGGCCAGAAGTTGTTAAAGGATTTTCATCAACTGAAACTGAAGCCAATGACGTCATACATATTTTAAAAGCAATAGGGGTCAAATGATTTTCAGATATGGAAGAAAGAGAAATTATAGAATTAGTCAAGAATGATGATAGTGAAATGACAAATGAAAAATTGGATGGTCTTATAACACCAGCAGACAATAAAGGCAGCAACAGTCAAGAAGATAAAGAGCGTTTAACATACAAGAAGCTAAATGAATTGTACAAAAAGTCACAGGAACATGTACCTGATTAATAAGCAGTAGTAGAAATCTTTTCAATTAACAGTTTTTTATTTTCCCCTTTTAAGTACAAAATATTTAGGTTTGCATGACATACAGTGCCCAGCACTTATTAAACTCACTGGTTAAAAAATTCAGCTACAAATTGTGTTCAAACTTCCAGGAACCAAGACAAATACAGTACAAAGTCCAAAATCCGGACTCGGCGGGACTTTGGCGATTCTGGATTTGGGATTTTTCCGGATATTAGATCATCAGTTTAAATCTAGTAAGGTGGCATATAGAAATTATAAAATTAAAAATATGAAATCGGGATTTATGAAATAATGAAGTATTTATGATCTAAAGGGTATCAAAATTTACAAAAAAAAAAAAAAAAAAAAAAAAAAAAAACCTTAATATTTATTTGTTTACCTTATTAAACATTTCTTTCAGTGTACGTTGTTTAAGTTGCTTTGTTTTTTGTGCTAATACTTTCTCTTTAATTCTGTAGACAAACATAATCTCTTGTTCAGTTACATTTCTGAAGTGCTGTAACAGCTGTTTCGAGAATTCCGACTAACTTGTCAATCGAAATTTTCTCATTTTCAGTAACTTTTCTGTCACTTTCTTCACTATGGGTAGCAGTATTTTCTGGGTTTAGAACTATACTACAGATTTCACCATTCATTAATTGATTGATTGTTGAGAAGCATTGTCATCACAATGAAAAACTTCTTTTATATCATCTTCATTTCTTTACAAAATCCGTTATTTGGAAAATATGAGCATGGCGACTAATGACAAGTTGTTCCCTTAAATTTTATCATGTTTCTATAGCGCACTGAGACAATTAAGCCTAAATTGTATTAATTTAGTTATTTATTATACTTATGCCTATTCCTTGCTCATGCTTAAGGCTTATCAGAGTTCTGAATAAATAAATTCCCACATATACTTAAGCCATATTGAGGGCCGGTGCTAGATATGTTACTGCCTGATGCAGTCACCGTGGGTCCCGGGTCCTAAATTCTGCTATGCGGTGCGGCCATACAAGCCCTGGCGCTGATTCTGGGTTATGTGAATAACAAATCAGTTATTTTTAATTCAAATAGCCCTAAATGTAATGTTTGGGTCTATGAGTATCATCAACAAAATCTATTTTTAGCATATGGAAATAAATTTTTGATAAATTTTCCCTCGTGAACATTTTTAGCGCATTTAACTTAAATCTGTAATCATCGGCAAGCGTAATGTCAACATAAAAGGTTACCATACTCCTTTATTATTCAATTACTAACATAAAAAAATTGTTTAGGCATTGCCGCATGAGTCATTATTCAAGTTGTCATGCGTTGATAAACATGCAGTGATGAAAGGAAAGTATAATAAATAATGATTCGCCAAGTTGGTGTCAGATCAATAATGTATCTATGTGGAATGATGTTTCGGTTTGAGATGTGTGCCAAGCAGATATGCAGCAACGGAGCCAAATTACTGATTTTACAAATTTATGGTAAAATGATTGTTCCTTCAATAACAATGTATTTTATTTAGTGTCAAAGTGAAATTAAGAATCAGGACTCTCCAGATGTTTTATAATGCATGGAGGGGGGGGAGGGAATCAAATGTGCATGCGTAAAGCCTACAAGAAAAACATTGTTGGTGGTTTTGAGATCCAGATTTTAGATCATTCCGGATAATAGACGTCCAGATTTTGGACTTCGTATGTACTAATCAATAGAAAAACTGCCGTTTATAAAACTCATCTCCTCCGTATATAAAACTCAAACAAATAGTAAACAGTTTAATTATTTTCCCCATATATTTGGTTTTTATTCGGCTGCCGCTTATATATTAGCATCACAGAGTTTGCTTTACCATAGTAGCACTTAGGCTATTTTGTCTTCCTTTCTGTTTAGCCCGTGATATCTAGTCACTGATATGCTGGTAGCCAGAGATCTGTGTAGAAGAATATAATTTTGAAAATTGCATATCATTTGTCAGCAACAATTTTTACTGTCCAAATGGAAAGTAATGTGGTCTGAAAAAAAAAGAAATATAGTGTCAGTCACTGGTGATTGACAGGGTCTTAAATATTAAATCTTAGAGAATGCTTCAAATTATAGCAGAAAACTGGTTTCTATATAGTAATATAAAAATATTAATTACAAGTATTTTAGAAGCTGTTTCTTTATTAGTATGGAATTGACAAATATATCGAAACATTTTCATCTTAGCAAATATCTTTGCCAATATATAATTTTAAAAAGGGAGAAAAATTCTTTTTAACATTGTTACTTTGTGTTTTCATACATGCTAGGTTTCCTGGGATCAGTTAGTGTGATTATTTATAAGTTGATGTGATTATTAAGAAATGACTTAAAATTACATTTTTCCAAACAGAATTCCATGCTTTTCTAGGAGACAGAATAGTTCTTCAGTGGTCATTTGTGCACTAGAACTGGGCTTTCAAAGAAACATTTACAGGACTTTTTTGTAGCACTATTAATATTATACATTTCAGTTATATTTCAGAGTGGGCAATGTGTTGTGTTTAAGATTATGTAAAATTATATGATATTGAATTAATTTTTTAAAAAATAAGAACAATTTTAGAGTATAAATTTACCAAATTATTATGTTAATAGAAAGTATATTGAAGCATGTATTTAAAGCTGATTTTCTTTGATAGACTGGGGAACATTATCATCAAACATCATTGCTCATCAAGGCTTTTAATTATAAATTTCGCATCGACTTAGAGCTCAACACGTAAGTTATCAAATTGACTGTGTATAAAATGGCTAATATAAATCATGTTTTAAGTTAACCATTTCGTTTTTATGTATTTAATGTTGAAAAAGCATCAAGAGTTATTTAGAAACCTATTTATAAAAGTTCAGTTTCAAATTTTGTTCTTGGAAAAATTTGTATGGTGTTTTTTAAATTCTTATTAAATAATTTATGACAAATAGGTTTTAAATGTTACCAAAGATAAGATCTTTTATTACTTTTATTAGTATAAGGCTTTTAAAAGTTGAATATCATTGTAATTAATTTGTGTCTTGACGATGATCCTCTTTTTACATATGCATAAATAATGCTTGAAATGGATTATTTTACTTGTAAATTTTTCATGCAATTCTTATTGTTATTATTATTACTATTTTAATTAAAAGGTTGTTGCACATGAAGTATCATATTGATAGTGAAATTTAAGATAGTTCTTTTTAAAATTGACATTCTTTATCTAAGTACTTATCATTCACAAAAGGTTGTTGCACATGAAGTATCATATTGATAGTGAAACTTAAGATAGTTCTTTTTAAAATTGACATTCTTTATCTAAGTACACATCATTCACATATACTCCTCCCTGTGAGATACGAGTGCCTTCATGCCAGTTTCATTGAAGGCCAGTGTTCTAAACTTGAGAAATTCTTTTGATTGCATTTCTCTTAGCCATGTCATTATCTAAGTGTTTTTCTGCCAAAAATACCTGAAAACTTGGTAGCTAAAGGTCATGTGAATTGAAAAGAATTTTAAAGTATAAATTTTGTATCTTTTGGACTGTTGTTCTTGATACATATTGTCACGCAGTATGACTGTGTATACCAAAGTATTTCACATTCTGGTTCAGAACTTTTCAGCTTTGTTTGGCACATCTTAAGAATTAATCAGTTGTGCACCATCAAGCAATTACCATTGTCTTCCTTGGATAAAGATCAGTAGTTTCAGTGGGTATTTTGGAATACTGTCAGCATCTAGCCATTGAGTGAATTAGCAGCCGGTAGCACATAAAATTCATTTTTCATTGTATGACACTAATTTGATCAAAAACAGAAAGTTTATGTTCTGAGAGAGAAGTGGTAATTTTCAGAAAGCATGTCAAATCTTTTAACAAATTTACAGACAGTCAATTAGTTATTCTTCTTGCCTTTTTTAAATATTTGCAAGCAGTGGTAACAGTCAAATGGTGTTTAGTTCCAGTTCCATTACAGTTTTTCAGGGTTCAGACTCCACCTAACATTCAGAGTTCATTGTCAGTGGCAGCTGTTGAATGTCCGTATTGCTTTCTTTCAAGGATAATTTTGTTGAATCAAAATTTTTAGAACCATCACTGTATCATTCTTTTATTTACTGTGTCAGTTTCAGAGTCTGTGTTCATGCTTCTAGGTGGTTCATTTGCATATTTGGGTGGACAACTATGCATATTCAAAATTGAGTGGCTGTAGGTGCTGTCATTTTCCCCCAGTATAAGGAACACACATGCATACATACAGTGTACTCTCAATTATCTGTACTACTGTACTAATGCCAGAGAGGCAGGTCATGGATAATTGAAAAACAGAGATAATCCAAACTATCAGTTTCATACTTATTGTATGTGTCTATTTCTTAAAAATATCAGTAATTTTACTTTCGTTTGGAAACATAATTATTTGATGAAATTTGCTGCCTATTTTTCAAAGTTTTATTTTATTATTATATTGAATCCCTTTTGGTTGACAAAATCCAATAGAGCTTCAACAGAAGTTACTGCTGTATCAAAATTAATGTAATTGTCACCATCTTCATGGTTTGTATTTTCAGTATCACTTTCTGCTTCTTCTGTTCTTGTGGCGTTTGAAACAATATCCACATGCCTCAAGCATTGAAAATCCAGCTCAGTAAAACCGCCATTGAACCATTCCCTGATTTTTTCCCTTTTGATATTTTTGAAGAAGTTTACATTTTCAGTTTTTTGGCAAATAACTTGTTATTGCCTTGAATTAGAATAAAATCTCTGATTTCTGTATCAGGAAGAAACAAACCAATGTTGTTGGTTTTACGTTATGTTTGACAAAGCTGTTGCTACTCTTGAGCGTTGAGTGTATAGGCACTACCATATGTGGGTAATGTGCAAACTGGTGTAATCCACACCCAGATAATCAAGAGTACATTGTACATACTGTCAATATTTAATAATGGAGATGAAAATTATTTTATTCCAAAATTTGGCATTTCATTTGCAACAAGCTAATATTATTTGAAAAGATTCATTATTCCTAGTCAGTGATGAAGTAATTTTTCATAGCTCAAATCTGAGACATATTTATGAAGTATATTTCTGGATAAAAAATTATGTTGCTTTTTCAGAACTTATTTTATCATGTATGTATTTGTTGTTACATTTCTTAGGCATTTGCTTGCACCAAATTTAATACAAAAGCACTTCCTTCCTGAAGGGGTTCAACAAATTTCAACTCAGGTAAATGAAGCCTCAAATTTTAATTGATCTATGTATTCTGTCTGTATGATTATGTGTGGCTCTTATGGTACTTAATATGGAACATATTTTAGGATAAAAATTATATTTATTGTGTGTTGTATAAATTGTTTGTATAAAGTGAGACTCTTAATTGATTATTAACATATATACTGCCACCATAATAAGAAATAGAAAAAAATAAGTTTAAAAAAACAGATAGCAAAAAATGTTTAACTGGATATTATAATAGTAGCCAACAGTTAGGAACTGCTGTTGTGACATTTTCATGAACTGTCCACATGAAAACAATGATAGTCAAAAAACATTTATTGGTTATATTTGATACAATAAGTCAAGTCAATCATATTTATATTTGATGCTGTAGTGCATGAGGAAAGTGACTGACATAAATGTGTTTGAGGTCAAAAATCGAAGTTAGATGTTGACTATGTACAATGGATGTGAAAGAGTGAAAAAAAATAATGTATGGTGTTTTATTAAAGAAACTTTTGTGAAATTTTATTTTATTCATAATTATGCAGTCAGAAAAACAAAATATATTTCTGAATGCTATAGTTTAGTAGAAATCTTATTACAAAAATTTAAGTCAAATTAACAGAAAAACTTGAAACTGTGTTCCAGTTTGAGATGAATAACTGTAATTTTATTGTACTACACTACAAACAGTGGCGTAGCAAGCATAACTAGCGCCCGGGGCAAAATACCTTTTTGGTGCCCCCCCCCAAAAAAAAACACTTTCAGTAATATAATGTATAGAATATATTCGTAATAAGAAAATAATGCAAATAATAATAAAATGCTGAATCTGCCATAAAATACTCAAAAATATATTAAGAATAGTCACTACCTAACTACATTATCCTTGAATTTGGAAATGCATCTGTGTCGGCGAAAAAATCAGACATACAATGATCTAGAATTAGTTAAAAAGGTGTTATTTATTTTACATATTTATATAAGTGTTTTTAAACAATTAAAAGTTTAATATACATTATAGATAAATAAATAGATGTGTGGCAACTTTCCTATTACAACTCAACTCTGACAGTCTGGTAACCCATAGCAACCAAGAACAAAATAATATTTATTTTATTCAATTGTTATAATTATTTAACGATCAGTCTCAAAAAATTGTACTACTATAATTGGTGACCTGTATTTATTACGAATAGCAACCTTCAATGTTGCACAAATATGGAGTTTATATATCAAAATTCTGAACAGCAGTAAGTTACCCAGTGTGATGAGATTCAAATAAGACATTTCACATGTGATTTCAAGCGTTGTGCCATATTCCAATGAGTCAACATATTTTTGTCATAATTTCAGCGGATATATGTATCGTCTGCTGCATTTGAACCGCCAGTTTCTCTGATTTCAAGTACCAAGAAACTGTGTCACTATATACATATTTATTATTTTTCTATACATATTATTACTGTGCATATTTGATTGATCTAAAGTGGTTGACAACGATGCTGCTTCACAATTGGCGCGAGTGGCAGTTAAGCCACCACCTTTTTGTCGCCGAGATCCATCGTTATGGTTCATTCAATTGGATGCGCAGTTTAAATTGAGTCACATTACTGCCAACGAAACTCGATTTTATACAGCGATCGCTGTGTTAGCATCAGAGGTACTTCAATCAGCTCGTGAAATAATTTTGAATCCATCGACGACGGACAAATACACATCTTTAAAAAAATTAATTTCTGTTTATGAAGAATCCGAGACAGTTAAAATCAAGCAGCTGTTGCACGATTTACAGTTGGGTGATATAAGGCCTTCTCAATTGCTGTATAAAATGTCAGACTTAGTCGCCGGTAACCTAACGGATAACATTCTTAAAACATTATGGATGAATAGACTCCCATCTAACATGCAAACCATTTTAGCGGCCAGTAGCGAGCCATTTAAAAATCTTCCCGAAATTGCTGATAAAATTCCCAAGCTGGCCATTCCTGCGCAGATACACGCAGTGCAGGCTCCTGGGTCAGGTATTGTGGCATTACAGGCTCAAATTGATGACTTTTTCAAACAGGTTGCTCTGTTAGTAGCCATTCAAGCTGAAGCTTTTCGCGCAACCGCTCCACATCACGTGGTCAAAATACACGTCGTAGCCCACTGAGGAAACGTTATGAAATCCCTCTTCCGGGTATTTTTTTTTTTTACCACCACACAAATTTGGAAAACAAGGCAAACAAATTTTGCCACCCACCGTGTGTCGTTATAACGACCAGGGAAACGAGAAGGGCCGTTGCTCGAAGTCATGATATGACAGCGGCCGGAATTCTTGCACGCCTTTTCGTCATAGAAGAGAATTTCGGTGCTTAAGGTTTCTTCTAGACACCAGGGCTGATGTTTCTGTCATTTCATTACATTTTCACGAACAAAAGCGCCTTACCAAGTTACAACTTTATGTAGGAAATGGAACTCCTATTCAAACTTTTGGTGAACGCCTGATATCTGTTGATTTAGGATTGCGCTGCAACTTTCAAATAGCCATTCATTGTTGGCTACTGTCCTATTATTAGTGCTGACTTTTTACAAAAATTTTCTTTGCTTGTCGATCTTAAGAATCGCCGTTTGATAGATTCCACAACCAACTTAACTTATCCGGGAGTAATTCGCAATAGTCAATATTTGAGCATTAAACTGATTTCTAGTAACTCCCCATGGCATCAACTTCTCAGAGAATTCCCTACAATCACGCGCACAGTTATGGGTATTTCCGAACCCAAAAACGATGTACTACATTATATTGAAACTAACGGACTGCCAATTGCCGCTAAACCTTGACGCTTACCTCTGGACAAGCTTAAAGCCACCAAAGAGGAATTTTAATACATGATGGAACAGGGAATTTGCCGTCCTTCAAAAAGTTCATGGGCCAGTCCACTCCATCTAAATGGTAAGTGGCGATTATCGCCGGTTAAATGCAGCTACCATTCCTGATCGTTACCCAGTCCCGCACATTCAAAACTGTATGCAAGTTTTAGAGGGAAAAGCTATTTTTACAACCCTTGATTTTGAGCGGGCGTATCACCAAGTGCCCGTTAACCCAGCTGAAACTGGGGTTATTACGCCTTTTGGACTATTTGAGTTTCCGGTCATGACTTTCGGCTTATGCAATGCTGCTCAAACGTTACATCGCTTCATGAATCAGGTATTAATCGGCCTCGACTTTCGTGTACCTTATTTTGATGACGTCTTAATCGCCTCGTCTTCAGAGCAAGAACACATCACATTTGAGAACAGTTTTTGAACGTTTTCAAAGGTACGGTGTCAGTCTTAATCCCTACAATTGCGTTTTTGGCCAATCAAGAGTATCCTTTCTTGGGCATGAAATTTCCGCTGTTGGCGTTCAACCCGTTCCAGAGTCACTGCTATCCGCGATATGTCCGAACCATCTACAGTGAAGGACTTAAGATTATTTCTTGCTATGCTCAATTTTTATCGACGTTTCTTACCTCATGCAGCAACCATACAATCACCTCTGAATTCTTTTTTGGTTGGAAGCAAGAAAAGCGATAAACGCTTTATAACCTGGACCACAGAATCTCGCGAAGCGTTCCAAAAATGCAAAAAGGATTTCATTTCGGCAACAAATCTGCAGTATCCTTCTGCATCTAAACCATTATAACTCTACGTTTATAAGGTATTTCTTCCGCTTTCCTAGCGTGCCTTCGCGGTGTAGTAGTTCTGCACGCTGTGCCTGTACTCCAGAGGTCCGAGATTCGATTCCCGGCGAAGGCGGTTGCTAATTTTCAATCTCTTTTGCACCCAAAAGTCTTAATGTCACTACAGTGACGCCCGAACTCAAAGGGGTGTTGGATGAGGATTCTCCACACCTAGGATTTGGCGATTGGGTTCCCTAAAAACACCAGTCGCATTATACACGATATATTATATACATTATAAGGTATTTCTACCACTTCCCTAGCGTGCCTTCGTGGTGTAACGGTAGCACGCTGGGCCGGTATTCCAGAGGTCCGCGGTTCGATTCCCGGCGAAGGAATTGCATATTTTTCATCTCTTCTGCTTCCAAAAAATAACCTAATGTCTCTACACGTTGACACATCAACAACAGGTATAGGAGCAGTTTTACAACAGAAAGATGAAGAATTATGGAGACTCATATTTTTCTAAAAAACTCTCACCAGCACAAACCAGATATAGCACTTACGATTGCGAATTATTAGCAATTTATGAAGCTGTCAAATATTTTCGACATATGCTAGAGGGACGCGTTTTCATGATCTTCACAGATCACAAACCCTTAACCTATGCTTTTCAATAGAATAAAACTTCTTGTCAAATGAGACACCTAGAATTCATAGGGCAATTTTCAACAGCTATCCGTTATATTGAGGGTTTGCAGAATATTGTTGCAGACACCTTGTCTCGTATTGAAGAACTAGCCGTTCCTTCGCCAGTAAAGTTTGCTGCCCTTGCGGATGAACAACACCGAGATTCAAAACTACAAACCCTCTTGAAAAGCAAATCTTCCACCAATCTCAACTTGCAGCCTAAGCAGCTGTCAACTGGAAAATCACTTTATTGTGAAGTTCAGGATTCAAGATTTTGACCTTATGTTCCCTCCGGATTTCGCCATGCCATTTTTAGTCAGTTACATCGTCTGTCACATCCTGGCATCAAGGCTTCAAGGAAACTGATACAGAAACGTTTCATATACCCAGCATGCAAAAGGACACAGCCAACTGGACACGTTCGTGATTGAAGGGCCAAAGATCTAAAATTGTCAGACACACAACCAGCCAACTTAAAAATTTTAATTTGCCCTCATCTCGCTTCAATCACGTGCACCTCGACTTGGTTGGGCACTTATATTTATTATAATAATATAATAATAAGAATACATGAATACAATTAATTATTATGTATACATTTTTCTTACCTTGGATGAAGCAAATTTATCATTTACTTCATCAAAGTCGACCCTTTCTAATTTTTCTCTTTCCACACTTAAAAATGCTAGATGACTTAGAGGATTTTGTCCCATCGCTGAATGTAAATATGTGAAAATTTATTTTAATTTGCTGAACGAACGTTCATAGTTAGCATTTGATAATGAAGTAGTAAGTAGTATTTGAAGTGCGACTCTTAGGCTTAGAAAAACATTTACTCCATAGATCTGTAGTGGAGTTTTAAGTTCCATTTCTTTTCTACTGCGGAGTAACATCATGCATTCACATTCACTGCTCAAAACAGTTAGGGGATTAGGGGTTAGGATTATTCAATTATGGCAAAGCACACGAGGGCTATCTACCTAAAGGGAGGGATGTCTTCGTGGAGGTCTTTCTAAGGGAAACTGGCTCGTATATACGTTACACATGGGGAAAACCACGAAAACGCCCATGCAGCCAGCCCGTTCACAGGATTCGAACCTCGGACCGAACTACCAGTGTTCTGCGTCTTTACTGCTCGGCCGCTGGTGGGCACAATTAGGGGATATTGTGGGTTCGGTATGAAATAACCATATAATGGACAACCATTTTGAACAAAAGGAAAATGAAGAGATTATAAAGGAAAATTATAACGTTTACAAGTTGGGAATATGCGAATTTAGTTTGTGACGTCGAAATCTATGAGTTTTAGATAAGGAGTAAGGAGCGACCTGCAGTATTCCTTTTGTAATAGGATATTAAAAACAATTGACATGCATTGAATGCTTCGTAGCAGTGAATATACGATGTCTCAGCAAGATGACTTAGTTGAATCGGTAGCCAGGAAGGCCATCAGTCGTTTACAGGAGAGTCAAACGCAATCCATTGTAGCGGAAGCGTTAGGATTTTCCTAAAATGTCATTTCCAGATTATGGAATCAGATTTTGGAAAGTGGATATGTTTGAAAAATTCGGGACAAGGTCGTGTTATCGTTTTAAAATAAAAAGCGGGCGGAACATATACGTGCATTTCGTTTTAAAAAAAAATACAAATATCTCTACTTTGGAGAAATAAAGTGGTCAGGAAAAACGTTTTGGTTGATGTACTGCAAAGATTTTATTACACATTTTTATCAGGCAAATCAAGAAAATAAATAATTAATTACAATAGTTATTAATTTTAAATATATTTTCCAGAAATCGATCAAAATTAAAACTGAAATTTTCCGGAAAATCTCGTTTGGAGACCATTTGGCGCCCCTGTACGAGCAGCGCCCGGGGCATCATGCACCCCCTTGCCCCCCCTCGCTACGCCACTGACTACAAAGAAAATTGCTTTATTGTATAGCTAAAATTATCTAATTATCTATTTCAGTTAATGTTGATGATTGCGTTGTTCCTTAATTTTCGAATTGGATCTGGCTTATTATTTTTTTCAGACTGTAAGAGCAATTTTATAAAAGTAAGCTTAAAACTTTCGATTATATCAAATACAATTTCCGATATATATTTGTTAATATGTAAAGGATCTAAAGCGAAAGTATGTTTTGAAATCCGAAATTCCGAAATTCACGCTGCTCGGCGGGGGGAACGCCGTGGCGGGCGCGTAATGAATTGGAAGTTGATCTGTCAGCACTATCCTTATCTTCAGGGCAGATGTTTTATTTGGCTTATAATTCCTTACCAAATGTAGTATTTCATCTCGATATGCTCCGTCTTTGATATGATTTAAAACAAGTTCCTCGTCATTATAATTCGCTTCCGATAACGAAGAAAAGTGACAGAAGTTATTGAAAACGAAAAAATTTCGATTGACAAATTAGTCGGTGTTCTTGACACACCAATTATAGGACTTGAACAGCGGAACTTTGTAACTGAACAAGAAATTATGTCTGTTTAATAGAATTAAAGAGAAAGTATTATCACATGAAACGAAGCAAAACTTAAACAACTTACATTGAAAGAAATGTTTATTTAAGTAAACAAATAAATATTAAGCTTTTTCTTTTTGCAAATTTTGATACCCTTTAGATCATAATTGTTCTTTATTTCATAAATTACGATTTCATATTTTTAATTTTAGAATTTCTGCACGCCATCTTACGAGATTTAAACTGATGATGTATAATCCGGAATCGCCGAAGTCCCGACGAGTCCGGATTAACGACTTTTGACTGTACATTTATTTAAATTTAGATTACTCTTCAATGCATTTTATAAATTAAGCAAGAATATATAACATGTTGACAAATACAAAAATCTGAATAAAAGTAGTTTTTTATATTGTTGCGTTTTTTTTCTTTTGACACCAGTTGTTATGTTATTTTCTTCCTTCATGTTCGTACGGGGTTCATGAGGATTTGGAGAGAATAATGACGATAGCTCTTGATGAAGTATCAAAACACACTTTATTTAGCCAGTACTAATCAGGACAGCTCCAAAATCACATTACAATCATCGAAGAACTACTATAAACACGCTAACACAATCAGTGACACAGCCTTTAGGTTCTCAGGCTATCACGGTGGAGACAGCTTCACTGCAAAGCACCAGAGTATAGCTCCCGACTCTGCTCGTTTTTTCTCAGAACTCCACGTACTCTCGAGACTCTCCATGCTACAACTCGGGATGCACTTGACGACACAGAGAGTACAGCTCCCAACTCTTTGGTTCAATCATTCCCAGAGCTTAACACACTCTCTCGACGATGCAGTAACCACGATACACTAAGAGACTCTTCGATGCACTTGACAGCCAACTCAGTGCTACACTTCGAGACACTCGCTCAATGACTGACTATCAGCTCGTTAGACGAGGCACACACTAACTCGCACTCTAGACAAGGCACACTCACTGACTGCAGACCAGCAGGGTTTATATAGCTTTTGGCTTGTGTTCGAGAACATTCTGGTCTAAACTGGTTAGAATTTGTTCCAGAAAGTTCTCCATTCATGTCCATGGCATATAGCCAATTTTGTTGCCAAATGGGCGATTTCTCGCCAAATGCGACAACCCTGCCTTCCCTTTCCATTTTATGGCAACCCTAAAACTGCTCTGCGTGGAAGCTATCTTACCGCGCCTGGACATTTCATAACAATAGTCATAAACCAAAACTAAATCCTTAACAAGTAAATAAAAGCCTAACTGTATTCTCCCTTCCGTGAAACTATGACATTCCCTTTCTCCTGATTTATAACCCCTGATCTATAGCCTTATAGCATTTAGATTTTGTAAAAAGGAATAACTGTTGAAATCAGCTCAATAACTAAATAGTAATATATAGTCTTCTGTGTGATTTGATATTTTTTTTAATTATGGTTCATTATCTATGAGAATTATGAAGATATATGGCAAAATTGTCAATAAATTTAGATCCTTTTAAGTTAGTTAATGTTAATTTTAAGTAATAAAGTTGTTACATGTTTTCTTAATGCTGTACAGGGTGGTTCAGATTAAAAGTAAATTAGAAGTGCAGAAGCACATCATTTTTATGGGAACACATAGCCACAGATGCTATGCATATGTACTAGAACGCATTATTTGCCAGAAGCTCTCTTGGGCAGCTCAAGTCATTATCATTCAAGGCATGATGGAAAAGCCTTGAATGATAATAACTTTTGGAGTGGCATTTCAATCATTCATTAAATACACCCACTTATTTCTTCCTCTGAGATTACTCCAGGAACCTTGTGTATGACAGCATCTAATCCTTTGACATTGATGTCATTATAACAATCCTTAAGAGGTCTGGTAATTTTCACATTCACTAACCTATGCTTTGTCGTTGTGAGGTAGTATTGCTGCAAATTGAATAAGCTTCCTCTGAAGTTGTGAACATATGTATGCCCATAAACTTGTATTGCCTTACTTGCATCCCTTTGTTATTTAATCTTCTTGTGCATTTAGCATACTCATTTGTCATTTGTCACTACAAACTCCTTTGTTTTTTCCTTGATTTACCTTTAAAATTGTCTGAAACCTTCTGAACCACCCCATATATCTTCAATATCTTTATTAAACAGGATTCCAAAACTTTAACAAGCCCATTCCATCTTTAAAGATGAATTCAAGATACCAATACTTATATTTAGGCAATGTATTTGCTCAGTCATCAGTTGGTCATCTAGTAGTTAGGAAAGAAGTAGATAAAGCTTGTTTGAAGTCTACATTATATAAAAACCTGATAATGCTTTTCAGGAAATAGAGCATTGCTATTATCATGGCACTACAAGAGATTATCCTGGAGCCATCGCTGCCTTCCGCACATGTAATGGGGTTAGGTAAATATAAAAGTTTTTTTTTTTTTTATAATAATTAACTTGCATTTTGTCTGTCATAACTAATAAATGCTTTGACTTAAGATGCAAAAGAAACATGAACATTAAACATTTTTATTGTTTTAATAGTTAAATAAGAATTTACCATTAGTTTAAATTACATTATTTGTTTAATATATTTAAATTGTAAAATGTAGTTGAATTACCTTTAGAAAAAGATGCATAGGAAAACTACCATAATGATGAATTTTATTTATTATGCAGTGTGCTTGAGTTTTTATAGAAATACTCTACATGGTAGTTCAGCTTTGGAGTATACATGTATAGATGTTGGTGTATAGATAGTTTTCTGTATAGAACAGAACATATTTCCTTCATTTGTAATGAATTCAGAAGTGTGTCTTCATTAATAAAATTGTATTTTTTCACTGTTTTTGAGAGATGTACAGTATTGAACTGCAAAGTAAAGTCTAATTGGGATTCCTAATTATTACATTGTTAATAAAATGTGACTTTTTATCAATTTATTTGTGATTTAAATTAACTTTTGTGCATTTAAGTGCTTCCAGACTGTGCACCTTTAAAATTTTTGTGAATATTTTTTAAAGGATTTCAATTCTAGAACCCCAGCATTTTGCCATTAGTGTAATATATGCTGTATTACTGTATTTTTCTGTAGTTTAATTATTAGGCATTTTACATGAAATTTTATTACTTTTAATTTGTGTTTGTTCAGTTTAGATAATTTTCATTATATGTATTGCATTTATTTTCTAAAACATTTGGACGATAATTTCATGTATTTAATCTTATTTTTCAGTGGTATTCTTCATGTTGGGAATGATACATTTGTTATTCATCCATTTTATGGAGGGGATCAATCTGTAAGTTCTTTAGATTCCATATTTATGAGCTTAATTAAAGATTAATTTTAAATAGATATGGACATCAAAAGAAAAATTGTCTAAAAATCTTTTAACTTTCTATATATATTAAATGTTTTTTTGGTAATGTGAGAAACATACATACATTCAAGTAGATTTTTCATTATTTAGTTTCCTTAAATATAATACAGTTCAATAATATTTTTAGCAACAGTTTGAAAAGTGATTCAGTCCAAAATGCCATTTTAAGACTGATAGCCCTTTTGGGCTAATGCCCCTCCGGGATAATAAAAAAATGTTGCCATAAAAATTTTAAAGAGTTGCTTATTAAATGAAATTAAAATAGAAAAAAGAAAGAACTAAAAAGGGAAAGTATAAATTAAAAGAGAATAAATAAACGCACAACTATATATGGTGAAAAAATCCTATGTCAATCATAAAAGCATCAAAAATATTTTCTTCTAAGTTTTTGCATCAAATGAACTTGCAACCTCCATGGAATACCATGTTGTTTTTTATTCCTGTAATTCAGGCCATATTCAATGCTTATTTATGTGTGTCCTTCTATCAAGATCAACAAAATTGTGATTGGCTGTCAGATGAATTTAGATTAATTATAATCCCCAGCAATCAATAAATATTATCATACTTTCTTCCATGTTGTTTGTGATTATCTATACATCTTTAAAAAGCATCTGCACAAAACTAAAGGGTAAAATACTGCATATGCAATATAATGCATAAGCATAAAACTTTTATACATCTTTTAAAAAGCAGCTGTGTATTTTGTAACGAAGATCTTCAAAAATCGCACCTGAAACTAAATTTACTCACTGCTCCATTCATCATGAAGCTTTAGTAGCCAAAACAATCCCCCAAATTCTGAAAATAATTTTGAATTAAGTCACTAAAATTGTTAATTTAATTAAAAATCAAGCTTTAAATTCAAGAGTATTTATGATTTTATGCCAAGAGATGGACACTGAACATAAAACTCTTTTGTTATATTTGTATAAGTAAGGCGGTTATCCAGAGGCAAGGTTTTAAATCATATTTTTTCAACTTCAGTCAGAAATTCAAATTTTACTTTGTAATTCAAAATTTGAATTGCAAAAATGTTAATTTAGTGAATTATAGTTTTTGCATTTAGCATATTTAGCTGTTATTTTTGGAAAGTTGAATGAATTAAATTTAGAATTACAAGGACAAAGTGTTTATTTGTTTACCATTGGAAATAAAATAAATACAATGATAAAAAAATTGACCTAATAATCAAAGAATTAGATAATAATATTTTAATTTTTATATCACTTTTAAAAATTTTTCTAACCAAAAATAATTTGAAAATAAAAGAAGAACTAGCATTTGACATTAAAAATCATTGTTTTTCATTGATGAATAATTTCAACATTTTCCCAAAGATTATGAAAACAAAAATAGGATTAAAAATCAAAAAAATCCAATTTTATTGAAAATCCTTTCTTTAAATGTACCTGAAATTTTATCACGTGAAAAAACGAAAAATTAATATAAATTTCCTGTGATCAAATTCTTAACAAAAGATTTCAAAAAATAACACTTGTTAACTGAACCAAACTTGTTAACACTTGTTGACTGAACCAAAGAAAAGAATTTAAAGGCATTTCAAATAAAGCTATTGAATTTTTTTTTATTCCCTTTTTGCAGAATCTATTTGTATGAACAGGGATTTTCTTCCATGTTGTATTCGAAAAATAAATACTGAACAAAATTAAAAGTGGATCCTAATTTATGGTTAAAACTGAGTGAAATAATAGAAGAGATAAAGAAATTGATGTCTTTTAAACAGGCCGAAATTTTGCACTTAATTTTAGAATAAAGGCATTATAACTTAAATTTTTAATAATTAAAATGGTAACTAATTTTTAATCTAATATTTTTCATGTGTGCATATTTAATACAAATAGCCAATAGGTTGTGCAAATGGCAAAATATATTTTTTTAATATTTCTATTGAGAAGTTGAAAAATAATTATTGTACATTGTGGTGGTACTAAAAGTGTTTTGAATTTTTGCTTAGATGGTACGCATTAATCAAAAAGTTGAGAACTGCTTTAGAGTGTAGTATTGCAGTTTAGGATTTATGCATTCATTTCAACTTATGTAATCAACACACGCTGTTGGTATTATCATCGAATCAGCACAGTATAATAATTAAACATACAAAATACTGCATCTTGTGATTATTGAAGTATGAGAGTATAAAATATCAAAATGCATGTCATGCTGAAAAGCCTGAGTCATATATGATCGAAATAATATTTTTCTATTACTATTTATAGAAAAAGCACCCACATGTTATTTATCGATATTTTTCTGAATCAAAAGAAAAGCATACTTGTGGTAAGCATTGTTTTCAGAATTTCAAATGTGATAAACTTAATTAATTATTCTAATATTTTTATTGCATTACAGTTGTGCTTATTGTTTTCAGCTTATCAATTTTATAGCCCATTGTTTTAGAACATTATTATAATTATTTGGAACTATAAATTTCATGTTTCTTTCTTTTTATTCTGAAATGGTTCATATTGAGCTACTAATATCTGTGAAAAAAGCATAATAATAGTTTCACATAGTGCTAGAGTCTAAGTCTATCTTCTCCAAAGCTTTAAAACCCTAAATATTTAAATTATTTTTGTTGAAAAGCTCTATCATATTTGTTGATACCATATTGAATAAAAATGATTTTAATTTATGACTGCAACCTGCATTTTATGAATTGGTTATGTGCTTATATTATGTATCCATTGATCATAGATTAAAATTCTTATCTGATACCTATAGTGAATTTGTTCAAAAATGTTCTAACATCACTTATTATAAGACAGAAAATGTTGTGGTTGACATCACAGATTTTAATCAGGCTTGATTCACATTCAGAAATGTATGTTAGCTAAAGAGTAATACTTAATAATAACAGGCAGAAATTTCTTAGTATGAATTACTAAAATTTTCTGTTCTTTATTTTTCATGTCAATAATAACCTCAGCTATTGCAGTTACATTCAGTAGCCAATATAATAAATTGTGTTATTAATAGAGAGACTGTATAATGTATATCTCGAAAACTTTTAAGGCATTTTAATAATCAAAAACAAGCTTGTAAGTTTTAATTGCTGTTCCCAAAATATTGTGAAAAAATTCATTTTTGTTTTTAAATTTTTTTAATATAAATGAAATTTACTTAATTACTCATTAATAATAATAATTAATTTTTATATACTTCAGGTAATACTGGAATGCATGAATGGGGTTTTAAAATGTTTCGTATGCGACCCTCCACTCCATCACGTTTTAAAGTATGTCATTAGTTATTTCATTGTGATGCTTTTCTTAAAGGCTAATGTGATAGTAGAAATATTAATTATATTTTTTATTGTTTTTCTAGAAAGATGTTAGACAAGTAAACAAATTTGTAGAGTTGGCTTTAGTTCTTGATCAAGCGATGGTGAGTAACAGTAAATTTTATGGAAACTGCTATAGGAAACAAAAAATTGTTCAGGAATTCGATTTTAATAAAAATTAATTATTTTTTTTCAAAGTTTAAAGTTTTTAATCTTTCCCTCTTACCTTTTTAAATAAGGGTAATAAAGAGTCTGAATTGTGCACATTTATTATCAATTTATTGATCTATACAGAAGTAGTAGTTTATTATTTCATGTATAATATTTTGTTTAAAATATTCTAGGTAATGTATAGTGAATTATAATTAATCTGAAATTTAAAAATTATTTTACATTTTGGGTAGCTTATAAAGCAGCCAGTAAACTAGCTTCCATAAGGAAATATTGAGAAATATCAATGTGTTTATTTATTTATTATTTTTTTTCTGTATTATTCCGCTTTGAGGACCGTAAAAAAATAGCAGTGAAAATGTACGTGCAAAAATGCCAAATCTAGCGTACGCGCTGATTTCAGATTGCATAAGTTTATATAGTTCTATATTTTTTAAGACGCCATTGAAATACTAGTTTAATTTTTTAATTTTTTTAAATTTTAAATCCTTTTTTAATATCCTATGGATTAAACAAGTTTGGGAATTGCCCATAACGAAAAGTCTGCAGTAGAATTTTGGGTAAAGTGCAGAATCACCCACCGCTTGGCGTGTTTTTAAGAACTGCACATACTCGGTATCCATGCACCCTTGACTTTATTTGTGTGTGCATTGACCTATTTTCACTTAAAAAGTAAAAGAAAATTGACAAAAATCCAATTGTTTTTACCCTTGTAAAAAACGGCAAACAAATAAGTGGGCGATTCTGCACTTTACCGAGAATTTTTTCAAAGAAAAGGCATCATTCATTATAAAAAAATTATGTTTTAACAACTAGCGAGATGAAACTATGTTTTAGTGATAACTCTGTAGCAAAATAATGATACAGGCATCCATTCAGTTATGTTTAGCAATTTTTACATAAATTATAATAATGATCTGAAATAGTTATTTACTTTTATGCTTCCATTCAGACATGTTTAGCCTTTTTTATATAAATTATAATAATAAAAAAGTATTATATGAAATTAATCTTTTATCTAAATTAAAACTCAATCTTAAATGAGTATTTACTATTATACTTCCTTTCTTGCGTTAGGGTTGCTGCAATTATTTTTGGCAGCACTGGCATCAACAATAGTTTGGCGATTTTTTTACGGCCCTCAAAACCGAATAGTACCATTTTATCTTACATTGTTAAAGATTTCTAAAAGGCAAGACAAAATTTCTTCTAGTTTGCATATCTATCCATGTCTTGCACCATGAAATTGTATAGCTTTGTGAAATAATAATGTAAATGTATACTTAATGATTTATGTATTTTGAGTTATAAATATCTATGCAGTCAGATCAATTAATAAACTGCATTTCCATAAATATGAAATAAATTATGAAATTTAACAAATTAATTACATTTATGTATCTAATAATTTTGAAATTTAAGTCTTATCCTCAGTTATTAAGGTTAAAATACTTATAGAACTAATCCATTGTCATTAGTTCATTTTTTTCATAGATTAGCTCTGTGTTACTGGATATTAACTATTGAAAATGTTTTTAATGTATTGTGATTCTGAATAATCATAGATGATAACTAATCATATTTCTTTAATATGTATGGTAATTGCAAGATGAAAATAGTTTTCCTGATGTGGATATTCTCTTTACATACATAAGAAAATAAAGAATGGGAACTGGTTTTAGGCAGCTATGCTTACTTTGTTGTATAATTTATTATTATTTACTCTTTTCACATGTAACAATGCAAACAATGAAACTCTTCTTTCTTTTTAGTTTGATAACCGAAACACAAGTAGGAATGAGGTTGTCAATGATGCCATCCAAATTGTCAACTGTGTTGACATGGTAAGAGCTAGAACTGTGTGAAAGTCCCATATTCAGAATTTATTATATATAGAATATGTGTATATAATATTATAATAAAGCAATATGTGCATCCATTTTCTATGTGATGTAAGCACTTTTTTTTTTTTTTTAGTAATCTTAAATAAATTTAACTAATTTGTGTTTTAAGCATTTTATAAATGTGTCAATTATAAAAAATTATTTAAACTTAAAAAATTAATACTTTTTCCTATCATTGACACTCTGGTGTACACATATATATATTTTTATTATAAATTCTGCTTGTTATGTTAAATCGTGCAATATAATGATATAACTTAATGCATTGTACTGCCATTAAGGACATAATATTCATTGAAAGATGAACAGAATCACTCATACATCACTAATGCATGCTGTTAATCTATAAAAAGGCTATCATTTTTCAGTAGAAATAAGTCGCAATTTTCTAATTTCGACTATGCGCAATGTATGCTTTACGCATGCGTGCGTTGAAAGAAATGTTTAATAAAGTAAACAAATAAAATGTTAAGCTTTTTTTTTTGTAAATTTTGATAACCTTTAGATCATAATTGCTCTTTATTTCATAAATTACGGTTTCATATTTTTTATTTTATAATTTCTGCATGCCATCTTACCAGATTTAAATTGATGATCTGTAATCCGGAATCGCCGAAGTCCCGACGAGTCCGGGTTAAAGACTTTTGACTGTATTAGCTACAGCTCCCAAAATGGGCTTATGAATGAGAGATGAATGGCACTCAAAGAGGCTTTATTATTGGTACTTCTTATTCATTTTTTCTATTTGAAAGATATCTTTTTTCACTATCACATAGGGCAGGATGTAGTGATGAAATAAAAATACACTGGTGGAAAATGAAATCCCGATGCCAAGAAGAGATCAGTTTAGAGGAATGAAATCTAAACAAAGCATTTGCCTAGGTCAGGGGTTCTCAACCTTTTTTGTCCCATGCACTCCTTTCACTGTTGCTAGAATATGATTTCCAAAAAACTCAAAGAAGACCCTTCTTTCCAAAAAAACTCAAAAAATTAATACATATAGTTATCTAGAATTAAATTATTTTTCAATGTGTTTTGTAAATTAATCAACAAAAAGTGTAAAAAATGCTGATAAATACAAAAACTTGAGTAAAAGTTTTTTTTTTTTTTTCATAAACTAAATCTAAATACTTAACCAATAAATAATTCACCCTGAAACTAAGAAATTCCTCTCAAGGGAGCAGTTTCTGGTTCAGAACCCCTATCTAAGTAACATGTTTATATGATTATTATTTCAAGATGACAGTCTTATGGTCTGTGCGAGAAGACCCATGCCAAAGTTTCAGCTTCCCTACTGATGAGTTTACTCTTAAAATTATTTTAATTCTGATTTTCTTAGTTAGGAGGAATGATTACAATCCAAAAGACACAAATTCTTATCCCCCCATGTGTATTTTTATTTAATTAATAATACTAACTTCCATTTTTGAACTGCTTATGTACCCATTTTTATATATACCAAATTTCATCTAAAGCAATTAGCTCCCTAAGATGTCCGCCTCTGAAAGTCAGAAGATTTATAACTGATACTGAATATTACCTCTCTGAGACAGTCACCTCCGAAGAAAACCAAAATCTTCTGGAACCGCAAGTGCTTATTTTATACAAGATCTGCGTAAAATGTTTCAAATCTGTCCAAACCTACATATTGCTCACGTCATTCATAAATAATAACATTTATGTGATACTAGAATCCCTTGGAGGAAAATATAGGACCTGTTTAGAAAATAAATAGCAAAGAAAATCTTTCTTTTAACTTCAACGTATAGCTTTAAAAATAAAAAAATTCACATTCACTTTTAATCTTGAAGGAATATGCTTTGTCCCCTAAAATGTTTTATTTTCTCTGCGTGTTTTTGATTTGATTAATGGAAGAAAGTATATGTGCAAGAAAATTGAGATGATGTATATGCTCATTATATCCCTTACAAAATAGAGAATTGGCCACAACTGGATTGTGTTAATGTAATTCCTTTAATTCTTCCTAACGATGTTATAATTTACAGCTTATTTTTTAAAACAATTATTCCTAAAATTTACTTATGAGTATGCTCACATACAGTATTAGGTGTTTCATGTTATAAGTAATTTTTTTTCAGTATTTTCGTACTGTGAATACTCGAGTATCTGTTGTTTATGTTGAAACCTGGGCTCATGGAGATCAAATGGAATTCAATAGTGATGTTCGACAAACCCTGCTCAGTTTCATGGAATATGCTTCCCGTAAACTGTACAAAGTTGCTAAGGATGCTACTCATTTATTAACGTAAGTCATGAAATTGATGCTAACAGTTTCTGGTTTTTATATTTTACAATAATTAGAAACATCTGTTATGCAGTCTTTCCATGTTTTGTGTCATTTAACAGTCCATTACATTATGCTAATAGAATATTTATCACCCAAATGAGCTAATTTCCTGTTTGCTTTCTGTGCAGTATAAGATCCGTATTTAATCTTGCAAATTAAAACTGTGCAGCGGCCAGTTTAAAAGTATTATAAGTACTTCTTAATAATATGTAGCTTTAATTTACATTTTAATAATATATTTAATTAATTTTATTCATTATATAGTTAAGAGGTAACTTTTTATTCTATGCTTAACTGATAGTTTTTGTAAGTATCTGTACTTCTGTAATTAGTAAAATATGTTTATAAAACCATGCATTAAATATCACAATAAAGGGTGATGATTTGTATATCACTTCCCCCCTCATTTTTTGCTGTTATTTTTTTTAAATGTATATATTTTTCTTAATTCTTGTGTATTTTTCCATGCTACTTTTTAATTTTTTACCCTGTTATGTATAATTAATTAGAAGTTTTAATTGTGCTCTACATCTTTAGAGGTCACAAATTTCGAGGGCATGAGGTTGGTATGGCAGTTCCTGACAGTATATGTACAGCAAAAGCCGTAGGAGTGAGCGAAGTAAGTATTCTTTACTTTTTCTGAACAGTTATTTTTAAGTTATTATATTGGGAAATGTTACACATTTTCTGCATTTTTCTGCAATTTTTTAAATGCTAATAATACAATTATTTAAATGTTAATAATGCAATTATTAACATTTAAAAAATTCCCAGCACACACTCTTTGTTATGCAGATATTTTGTCTGAGTGTTTATATGTAACAATTATTGCAAAAGAGCAGTTCTGGGATGTTTTAATTTATATTCTGAGACCCAGTTCTACTAAATGTGCAAGTATTCATCCACAAGTAACATTGTCAGAAAAAAATGTCCATCAATATTTGCTTTGTTTACTAAATGTTAGATAGCTGTTAGAAGAAAAGAGGGAAAGACTATCATTGTTTAATTGACCATAAAACATTTTCAGTATATTACATAGAAATGAGGTACTGCATGTGACTGTCTAAAAAATAGTTAAGACACTTCCTTGACAATTAAACTGTCTCAAATTGTTTGTTCCTACAAATTAAACTGTCTCAAATTAAGCTTCTGTGGAAAAATTTAGATCATTATTTAAGAGAGATTTATGAGCTATTATTTACAGAAAATAAAAATTAGCTTTTTGGTATTTTAACAAATGATCAAATTAATGCAACTGAAAATTTTTAGGAATGTGAAAAATCTGTGCTGTTTAAAACAAATACTTTCCTTTTTAATCAGTGTTATCTATATTTAAAACTGTATAAAACTATTCCAATCATGTGTGTAATCTGTGCTGAAATTTTATTTGAAATCACTGTATGTACCCACCAAGGAAAATATTTGTTAAATGCAGTCCACACAATACAGTCTTGAACATGCTTAACAAATTGTACTATTCTGTTATGAGCATTGTGCAGGAATTGAGAGGATTAAAAGCTCTATTTCTATTAAAAATATAGATTAAAACATGATTATAAATAATAACATTATATATACTTTCCGTATCATTAGTAGGAATACTGTATTAGTACTTGTTATTATTATGTTTTAATATTTAAGCATGTTTTGTACTAATGTTTGTTATAGCTTAAGCTATATATTATAATGTTGGTGTGACTTACTTGAAGACAATGCAATTTTTTTAAACCAAAAAATATTTCAAATATAATATTCAATATAATATTGTTGCATTTTTCTTTTACTTCTTCTGATACCAGTTGTTACGTTATTTTCTTCCTTCACAATTGTACGGGATTCGTAGATTTGGAGTGAATAACGATGACACTTGATGAAGTATCGAAACACACTTTATTTAGCCAATGTTAATCAGGATGTTAATCAGGAGAGCTCCAATAAAACTTTTTACAGTTGTCGAACTGTTATAAACACGTTGACACATTCAGCGACACAGCCTTCACACTGTCAGGCAATAATGGTGGAGACAGCTTCACTGCAAAGCACCAGAGTACAGCTTCCGACTCTGTTTGGTCGTTCTCGGATCTCCACGTACTCTCGAGACTCTCCACGCAATGCACTTGATGATACACAAGAGTATAGCTCTCAACTCAGCACAGTCTAAGATAAAACTCGACGATGCACTAAAAGACTCTCGATGCACTCAATGACCAACTCACGCTAGACTTCGAGACACTCGCTCAATGACTGACTATCACTCGCTAGACGAGGCACACGCACACTGACAGCATTCAGCTTGTGTTCGAGAACATTCTGGGCTAAACTGGTAAGAATTCATTCCAGAAGGTTCTCCATCCATCCATGGTATATCGTCAGTTTTGTCGTCAAATGGGCGATTTCTCGCCAAATGTGGCAACCCTGCCTTCCCTTGTCATTTTTATGGCAAACCTAAAACTGCTTTGCAGGTAAGCTATCTCACCGCGCATGTACAACTGCCCCCTCCCAAGGACTGCACATCCTGGGCAGTACAACCCTTGGTCAGAAGCCAAATTCGATGCAATCGAAACGTTTTAAAACATACAGATAACATAACTAAAGAAACAAACATTTATACTACATACAAACTTTACACAGAAACTAGGAAAAAAAACTCATGCACAAGCATTGCAAAGCATTATAAAAATTAATTACAAAAAAACAGTTATATATAGTGAAATAAATGTAAAAGATATGAACTACCATATTTATTTATTACGTGCTTCACCAGTAGGTACCCTACGGAATGAGAAGCACTAAATACTTTGGCCATAGTATGGGGCTAATCTGTCATAATGAACAACCTTGGGTTTTGAATTGGGGGATTTATGGATCCGTATCACAACGTAATTCAATCTGTTGAGGACTGTATAGGGACCCTCCCAATGCGACTGCAGTTTGGGAGAAACGCCCTTACGATGACTTGGATTCCACAGCCAAACCTTGTCGTGTTCCTGGAATTGATGTTCGGTGGCTCTTGCGTCGTATCTCTTCTTCATCCTGTCTGTCGAGATGTTGATCCGCTCTCGAGCAAACCTGTGTTCTGTTTCCAACCGGGCCTGGAGGTCTTGCACATCCTCCTCAGGCGAGGAATGTACATCCGGAGGGCGGCCGAAGAGCAGGTCACTTGGCAGACGGAGATCGGGACCGAAGAGCTTCTGTGATGGAGAATAGCCAGTGCTTTCGTGGACGGCACTACAGTAAGCAAGCAGGAACAGGGGTAGTTGCGACTCCAGTCTTCTTGGTTTTCGGAAACCATGAGTGAGAGTTGGTTCAGGATTATACAGTTAAACCTCTCCACCATGCCATCAGACTCGGATGTAACGGGGTCATCTGCGTTTTCTTGATTTCCAACAAGTCGCAGAGTCCCTTGAACACAGCCAAAGTGAAGTTCCTGCATTGGTCAGAATGAATCTGGAGGGGGATCCCACTTCTGACACCAGTTGTTACGTTTATCCTTTTCTGACACCAGTTGTTGCGTTATTTTCTTCGTTCAGGTTCATATGGGGGTTCGTGGATTTGGAGTGAATAACGACGACACTTGATGAAGTATCGAAACACACTTTATTTAGCCAATGTTAATCAGGAGAGCTTCAATAACACTTTTTACAGTTGTCGAACTGTTATAAACACGCTGACATGTTCAGGGACACAGCCTTCACACTGTCAGGCAATAATGGTGGAGACAGCTTCACTGCAAAGCACGATGAAGTATCGAAACACAACTTATTTGCCAGTTTTGTTAGAACAGCTCCAAAACACGTTTTACAGTCATCGATGAACTACTATAAACACGCTGACATAATCAGCGACACAGCCTTCAGGTTATCAGGCTATCACGGTGGAGACAGCTTCACTGCAAAGCACCAGAGTACAGCTCCCGACTCTGCTCGATCGTTCTTGGAACTCCACATACTCTCGAGATTTTCCACGCTACAACTCGCGATGCACTTGACGACACACAGAGCATGCTCCCGACTCTTTTGTTCAGTCATTCCCGGAGTTCAACACGCTCTCTCGACAATGCACTAAGAGAGTCCTTCAGTGCACTCGATGACCAACTCGGCGCTAGACTTCGAGACACTCGCTCAATGACTGACTATCAGCTCGCTAGACGAGGCACACCTACACACTGACTGCGGACCATCAGGGTTTATATAGCTTTCGGCTTGTGTTCGAGAACATTCTGGGCTAAACTGGTAAGATTTCGTTCCAGAAGGTTCTCCGTCCGTCCATGGTATGTCGCCAAATGAGCGATTTCTTACCAAATGTGGCAACCCTACCTTCCCTTGCTATTTTTATGGGAACCCTAAAACTGCTTTTCGGGGAAGCTATCTCACTGCGCCTGTAAATTTCGTAACAGTATTACTTTCTGGTCTCTCTTGTATATCAGTAAGAAAATAATTTGTGTTATAAATGATTTCAATTTGCATTTTTAAGATTATTTTGAACTTTTTATTGTGTGTCATTATATTCTGTCTTATGTATTTAATTCTCATGAGTGTATTATTATGTATGTATGATTAGAAAATGAATAAGCTGAGCATATCCTTTTGTTAATTATATTTTTTTACCTATGATTTGTTTAGGATTCCAGCATTTATGAACCCCATTTAATTGCAAGTACAATGACTCATATGTTAGGGCATAATATTGGAATGAGCCATGATCATTACAATGGAAGTAAGTTTGGAGAGTGCTTTTAGCATTCATTAAGTCTAAATAGTAAATTAATTTAAATTTATCACATTAAAAAAATAATAGTTTTCTTTATATATATTGTACGTGCATTTTCACTGTCATTGATGATGTAACTCATCAGTAGACTGACTTTTGCCTTCCAAAATATGGCAATAAATAATCCTTGATACTTTTTTTTATGCCTTCCAAAAATTAAAGATCTCTATTGATTTTTTGTGGTATAATTTAAAGAATACAATGCATGATTACAGAGATAGGTATCTATTAGAAAGGTAAGTAAATAAAATGATACAATCCTAGCTTGTAATTTACATATATCTAAGAGTTTGCATTTGTACATAAAAAAATAGTTAACAAGTTAAGTCAACAACTAGAGGTTTCTATTCAATTCAAGATAGGAGTATATTTATGCTAAGTAATTAAAATTGAATGAAATTTTGAAAAAATAAAATAAAAAGATGCAATTATTGATTTGTGTATTGATATAATTAGCTAAATTTAGAGAGGGTTTAATTTCTGCAGATTTTTGGGAAATTTTGAAATTTCTTTCAGATGTTATTTTTACTGAGAATAGACTTTGTATAATCATGATGAACTTAAAATTACTCTGTTATGGACCATGCATATTTTTTGGCATATTTTATTGTATGTTTTAAAATTAGTATTTGAATAATTTAAATTACGTAGCGTATTCGGAAACTAAGTACCGTTTCATTCTAGCGCCGTCACAGCGCTGTGGTAGGTGTCCCGCGCATGCGCACTAGTCTTTCTTGTTCACTGACTTTCAATTGTCGCCATTTTGGTTGCTCTATGTTGTGTTTTCAGTTTGCTGTGCTCATTCAAAATGTTTAAGACAATTAGTTCTCTCCCCGCTGACTGTGAGATTCGTGGCCGTGATTAAATTTTTGAATGCGAGGAATGTTAAACCAGCCGAAATTTATCGTCAAGTGACAGAAGTTTACGGTGAACACGCGATAAGTGATGGAATGGTGAGAAAGTGGGTAAGAATGTTTAATGCAGGTTGAACAAATGTCCACGCCGAGGCTCGGAGTGGTTGGCCTTCTGTTATCACCAATGATTTGGTAAGGAAAGTTGATGAAGCAATTCATGAGAACAGATGCTTCACAATGACAACTCACATGCTGCACATGAAGCACGAGCTTGGTGGCAAGCGCTTTGGATCTGACGATGACACGAAAAATGCTGTGTAGTCATGGTTATCGAAACTGGCGGGAAGTTTCTTTGACGATGGTATACAAAAACTGGTCACCCGCTATGACAAGTGTTTGATCATTGGCGGAAACTATGTTGAAAAATAGTTTAAGACATGTATTTTCATGTAAAAATAAAATTGGATTTGAAAAAATTGTTTTACTTTTTTTTTTCTCAAAACGGTGCTTAGTTTCCGAATACGCCTCGTACTTTATTAGCAGTTCTTGAATTCAAGATTTGTATTATGTAAAGTATTAATAATAAATAAAAGTTTCATATTATCAGTCTGAATTTTATGAATTTGAGAGGTTAAAAGTGTTAAAAATGTTTGCTACCTTCGCCCGTAAAATAAATTACATGAATTTTGTGGTAGGATAAGTTTTTTAGGGAAAAAAATAGAAAATTTCATGAATTTAAATTCAGGTCAAAGTTTGTGGATTTGCTAGAAGACAAAATAAGTATTTTCATATTATCATTAGATTTTGGGAAGATAAAATGTTGCCCAAACATCCTGTGATATATTATAAAAAGTTCAAGGGTTTAAAAGGTATGTTAAAAATATGCTTCATTTTTATCTTTGAGTTCATGAGTCAGACTATATAGTACTTCACTGTCAATTAAAAATAATTTGAAAAATAATGGGTGAAACTATTGCATGTGAATGAGTGTAGAAATAAATACATATTGGTTTTGGTAACAAAATCAAGGATAAAAAAAAAAAATCATTTATTTTAACTTTAGTATTTTTAGGAACAATAAGACTAGACTCCTGTAATACTGTCTTTTCAAAAATATGTGAGGTATTTAACAGAATAGGAACTGTATTATCGATGTGCATTTTCATTTCTCTGTATTAAAAAAAAGTTTGCTCTTGGTAGCTACAAACAAGTACATTCTTGAAAAAGGGAAACTATATCTATCTTAATAGGCATTAATTTTTTCAGTTGAAATCAACACAAAAGAATGAATTATGTTATTTATTAATATTCAAGATGACACACACACACACATATATATATATATATATACTTTTACATCTGTGAAGCATTTACTTATTTGTTTTATGGAAATTTAAATTAATTCAGAAGAGTGTTTGAAATGCATGCTTAAAATTGTATGGAATTAATGCTTTTGGAAATTAAATAATATTTATTTTTTCTGAAGAATGTTCTCTCATCCAGTTTCATGCATGTTTGATAATTTTTCTTTTGCTTGCAGCTGATTGTAAATGTGATGATTGGTGGGGATGTATCATGGCACAAACTATATTGTAAGTTGTTAATAAAATATCTTCATATTATAATGTATGGAAAAGAACTCTTTGTTTTTATTTACATATAAAATATTTTTTAAGCTTTTGCAAGTTAAAAAAATGAATTACTTAATATCCCAGGTATTTTATTTTTTCTCAGATTCAGCATACTTTCAGTTACTTTTCCACATAGTTTTCAGTACTATTAGGTTAAACAAATGTTATCATAGAATTAGACAACTTTCTATTGATCATTGCTGTAAAAGTGGGCCACCTTAGAGGGTAACCATTTTTGATCTGTTGTTTTGAGTACTTCAATGATTTGGAAATACTTGACAGTGAGGAATACTTCTATATATTAGTGTCTTGCCCTAGAATGGTTTATGCTTCATGCATGTGCAATAGGCATAGTTTCAGCATGGTAACCTTTGTCACTCAGCCAAAGAACATCTATGTATGTTTGGCTTGTCGATGAATTCACAGTTCAGACTTCAGCGATGCGTAAGTGAAGTGCTGTAAAGTGTGTGAAATGTGTTCCCTTTGTGCCCAATTATGCAAGCAATTATTTACTGGGGACTTAAAAAAGCGTATGGGGTGAGCTTTGTGCCCAACTATGGGAGAATTTATTTACTAGGGAATTGGAAAAGCATATGAGGAAATTAGACTTTATTCTTTTTTTCACTCAATTTGATGTTTATGAACTGTTTAAATTAATGCTGTAAGTTTTTGTAACAAGCAATAATCATTTAACTTAACCTTATTTTACATTTATTTTTAAATATATTTTTGTTTGATATTTCATCTTGTATTTCATGCTTTCCACAAAGTCGTATCTCATCCTAGAAAATAATTCCTGAGAGCTTAACATAATAAATTAATTTAACCTTATTTTAGACATTTGTTTTTATTTCATATTTACAATTATCATGAAAGTTCATCTTTTAACAAGCATTCAGCAAAATAATATACTTTGGTCCTTTATTTTCATATTCTTGATTACATTATAGTGGTAATCCAAAAAGTAATCGAAAATAGGTCTTCAAACATTCCAAACATACAAAATTATCTTTCATACTAATGACGATAAATATAAGAAATCAGTAACAGCTTAACTTTTTCAACACTTCAAGCTTCTTTCTCAGGCTTAATTTCCACAGCGTGACAAAATTTAGTGGAATAACATGTATTTAGTTGCCAATCTCATGATACATCGCCAATTCTGCATAATGGATGCCAGCCAAGAACTGCAATGAAACTTGTCATTGTGCATGCATGAAACACAAGCCATGCTGGGGCTAGACACTACTATTCTATATCCAGAAAGATATAATCATGTCAGCTCTAGGCTAGATTAGTAGCTACTAATATCCATAGGCTACAGTCTAAAAATACAACCCGAACTTCTGTCTGAGAGCAGTATGGGGCATTTCTTCATTGTGAAGCGAGAGAATTATGGCAGACAGCATGGCTTAATATTTATTTTGGATGGCACTGTTGGTTTTCTCAAGATCTAAAAATATACAGTAGCATTAATTTTTGCATTCTGCAGCATAAAATCCACCAGGAAAACATTTCATCTATCATATATTGTGATTATCATAACCTTATGAGATGGGATTTTCTGTTTAAATTTCACTCTTATAAAGATGGGTCTATCTGTTTCAATTCACTCTTATCTGAGATCATGTATGTATATATTCCACTGACTGCTGCTTGGATTCAAGGGCCACATGAGACATTCATGTCTCATTTCCTATGGCACCATAACCCAACAGTTCATTGCTTTTCTCATGGTGTAGGATCAAAAATGTCAAAACAAATGGTTAATTTGTTTGCTTTCTGTTTCTTGATAAATATCCATAGAAATTCCTCAAGAAAGCAATTTTCTGCGGCCAAGTTTTCTGTAATACTTTTGCTGAGTTACAGTTTTGCTTTGTCACAATTTACTGTGAAACTTGTGGGAAATTTACTGATAGCAGAGACTTGATCAGCTTTCTGCTTTTGTGAATCTGTTTACATAAGATTATCCAAGATTCAGAGGACCAATCTGTGGATGATTCTACATGCATATTGCCCTGGCTTTCTTTAAACAACCTCGCCTATTTATGAACATTTTGATCACTAATAGCTCTTGGGCCATACATTTCATAGGTATGGCATTAATCATCTGACATCTGGCATTGTCACATTTTATATAGTAAGGAAGTAGCTGACAGGCCTTCTCTTATAAATGATAGATTTCTTGATATTATTTATGTCTTATTTTTTGTTGTAAGGAAGCAGATGACAGATTGCTTGATCTTATTTAATCTTTCCATCATGCAAGACAAAGCATACATACTGCCAACAGATTTCAAGATGTGATCAATTTGTTTACATACGAAGAAGTTGAAGACACTGCACATGTGTAAAAATGAAGAATATGCAATACTTTATAATATATTGACAAACATTCCTTAATTAAAATGTTTCCTGCACGTATTCAAACAACTAGTTTTGTTTTTAAACTTTTTGATTTATTTTTTAAGCTTTTATTTTTAAGAATAGTTTCATATTAAGCATTTAACAATATAGATGGTAATAAAAGTGAGTAAGTAGATGATAATAAAAGTGTGTTCTATATATTATAGATAAATATTATGTTTTTGTGTTGCATCATTTTCAGTTTAGGTTATTGTGTGATATTCTGACAAGCAATTTAGTTCAAAGGAATTAAAATTTAATTCATGAATAATTGCATATGATATTATATATAGTAAATATCTTTTAAAGAAACAGTTTTGAAATCTTTTGTGCAATGTTCCATTTATGTAAATGCATAAATAAAATTATTTTAGTAGCTGCTTAGATATTTAATAAAACATGGAAATTGAGTACTATATGCAGAATGACTGATTAATTAAATTGATTGTATCTCTTTTTATTTTTTAACTATCATTTCCATTTTTTTAATTTCAGAGGCGTTAACAAAATCCAGCCATATCATTTTTCAACATGTAGTTTACAAGATTACATAAATGCCCTTCGAATAGGCCATGGTATCTGTTTATTCAACAAACCAAATCAGGTGAGCAGTTTATGAATTTGTCCAGATACTCAAATATATGATTTCAATTGCTTATTCATTTAATGTACTGTTTATGGTACTGTTAATTGTTTTTCATATGCTGAGTGGCATCTAAGAAACTTTACCAGATTATTTGAAATTTCCCCCATTTACCTTGATTTTTTATTAAGGGTGTCCATGAAAAACTTATGAAAAAAGTTTAACAAATATTTAATGTAGAAATTAATGTGGTTATTGCATTGTGATTTGTACTGATATTTTAAAAGTACTGTACGTTTCCAAATATAAGCCAAGAGTGTGTTGTTTTCTTCCTAAATTTACCCAAAATTTAAAATCCATATATAATCCCAAATGAAAATATATATATATATATATATATATAATGTTTAAACATGCCTCAATGAGGGTGAAAATGTTGCCAAGTAAGTAATATGAATGGAATATTTTCCAATCAGATACCTGCAAATGCCAACAATGATAGTTTTAATTTTAGTAACACTATCTGAAGCTAGTGCAACTAGCGTATTTATTCCGTTCATTTGCTGTATTCTATATGATTTGTGGTATCTCAATATCTGTGCTAGTCTTCTGTGCCATTTTATTTTTGACTGAAAGATAAATGGGAAAGAAACTGCAAATTTCAAACTATAGATGATCATGTTAACTGAACAACAGTATGGCTGCTCTGCATTTTTTCATAAATGGAAATCAAGTTCTAGAGTAGAGAAAGTTGGATAAAAGTTTTGCCAATGTGAGATATTTTGTTTTGGTGGCGACACAGCAACCTGCATTATAAACAGTTTCTGAAATAAAACAACTCATTTTATTAAATTTAATGATTTATTTCATTTAAAATTAATTTTCTTCCTAAATTTAAGAAACATAAACTAAAGGAATAAAAAAACTTGATATTTAGTTATTTATCTTTTCTGTTTTTTTTCGAGATTAACAGATCCACATATAAACCAATCTCCATAACTTAGCTTTACAAAAAGTTCCCAAAATTCTCAGCTTATACACAGTAATATACAATAAATGGAAAAGAGTTACAGAAAAATTTGAATATGCTTTAGGGCAGGCTTCCACAACCTATGACCCATGAGTCCTCAAGTAACCCACTTGTACTAATTCAGAAGTCAAACAACAAAAATCAGCGTTATATTCACAAAATTTTCACAGGACTAGTTTCGATGGTTTTACCGAACCATCATCTTCAGCTGCAAAACCGCAAATTAGGAAATAATGATTAGATTCATCTAATCATTATTTCCTATCTTGTTCATTTGCGGTTTTGCAGCTGAAGATGATGGTTCGGTAAAACCATCGAAACTAGTCCTGTGAAAATTTTGTGAATATAACACTGATTTTTGTTGTTTGACTTCTGAATTAGTATTTGTTCGGCGTGTTATTGTGTCTTAATTAACCCACTTGTGTTTTGAAAATAAAGTATAATGTATAAAAATAAATTTATAAGATATTTTCTCTTCCTTTCCTCATTGTTTTCGTGGTGTAACTGGATAACATGTCCAGCTAGCATCAGAAGGTCCACTGTTCAAATCCTTGGCATTGCTGATTTCTTCAGTTTCTTGACTTCTAAAAGGACTTTACGAGTGGCAACTGAACTAAAAGGTGTGGGCTATAATTTGTCATCAACAGGATTTGACAGTTAGGTCCCCTCATTCCAAGTCAACTGTTAAAAGAAGGAGTACTATAATGTATTTTCTCCTTCCTTTTCACATGCCTTCGTGGTATGCTTGTATTCATCTTAGGATGACTTGATAAAGCCAAATTTGGCGACATTTAAATTGATGTCACAAGTCATCAGGGGTGTCACTGATATTGAAGAGAAAGATAAAGTTCTTTTAGTTGTGTTTACATTTAAAGTTTAAACCATATTGTAATTATTTTCCCAATAAAATTTATCTTATTAGTCACAAAAAGAAACTTTTAAAATAAAAAAACTACTGAACCAAAATAACTTTATTTACCCATTTTGGTTAATTTTGACAGGAAGGAAAAAAAAAAAAAAAAAAAAAAAAAAAAAAAAAAAAAAACGAGTTGCCGACACCTAATTTAGACACTAATCTTGTATTAACATAGCAGAGTGTGGGAGACGGTTGCAGTTTGATGAGACACAACTTTTTAGCTAACGTCAAAATACAACTCTTTAGCTAACATTAACACACTAATGAAAAAGCAAAACAATTCTGGCATATCACAGTGCTTGTTGGTATTTGCAACAACAATTGAAAGAGGTCAAGTTCATTCTGCACTATTCTTTCAGGTGAACAAAAGTTGTGGAATTCTTTTTCCCAGCTATGTATATCACAAATGCAATAAAGCACCTTGATTTTTGGTATATGTATCATTCTTTTTCATCACTTCTTTCCTAGACATATTGTATTTTTCATCAGTATATGAAGTATAGTGCACAGGATTTATTTCTGAACCTGACCTTTTTGTATATAGTATTGATTTTTCCTTTTCTTTCAAAAATTGTTGCTACTTATAACAAATACATTATTTCTTAGTGCAGGGATTCACAACTCTTTTCTAGTATCAACCCCATTTAAAAGAATGGTTTTCTTCATTGACCCTCTTATGTTTTTCTTTAGAATATGCAGTGTTGTGAGACTCTACCTGAATTTCAATCATTCAGTCAATCCTCCATTAAAAAAATGGAGTGGGGGAAGATTTAATAATCAAAATAAATCAAGCAGTCCATCTCAGTATGAAAACATGGCACATCTTGCCTTTTGTTTTTAATCTTTTAAACATAAGCAAATATCCGGTGTTGCCAAACTGTGAAAAATAAACTTTCGGAGAGCTGCTTGTGACATCTTCTCCCACCTTTTGATTTATGGCAAATGGGACATAACTCAAACTACAACCAATGTACAATACAAATCCAAATATAATATACTTAACAAGGCAATTAAACAATAGTACAGTTGTGCATAAAACTAATTATAAGGCAAAGATTTTACAATTGTCCTACCACTCCTAGTTTTAACTATTTTATCAGAAGTCTTCAAATTAATGTCTTTTGTGGCATGAATATTAAATTGTTTTTGCTTAGGTGGAAACAAGTTCTCTTCTACCATCATTTTTAAAGAATACGGTTGTTGCACAGGATGGATCAATTCATGTGCAGCTGTTTTCACTTTCACAACTCTTAACATAATTATCTTGACTCTGGAATACTTCAATAACTCGACCAATGGCCCATTCAGTCCCTTTTTCTAATTACTTTCTACAAGTATCATTATCTTTGTTACTGGTGACAGGTGAGAGCAGGTCCGGACGGCTTACATAGACTAATCAGGTATCGTCCGGATCCCGCAACTATCTGAAGCTACACTCCGAAAACAATACAAGGGCAAAATATAGATTTTTCTGCATGCGGAATCAAACACTTTCCTGGCTACATCACATGTTAACACTTTGCTACACATACTCGCTACAATATACATTTCATAATATGCATTGCGTTGATTACTTAAGGCACATTTACAACTCAATGCTACACTTAATACACTATATATTCTTTGCAACATATTACACTAAACATTATTCTTGACAATTCAACATAGATTCTGAACAATGTAATTGTTTAAATAAGACATAACTGGATTATATAGTACATAACTTCCTTATATAAGACAGACTTAAATAAATAACTTGATACAACAGATAAATAAAGAGCTCTTAAATAAAGAGCAAAATTGCACATTACAAACAAATTACACATTTTGCAGACAGAAATACTCGTTTCTTACTTTGTGCTGTACTTATAATATACAAAATACAGATTTAAGACACAGTACAGCCCATATTACTTTTAATTAAATAACATGTTAAAATTTAACTGTGGCATAAATTTTGCTGTATTCTTAAAACATACCAAAAATAACATTCTACTGGTTACATTGCACCTTAACATACTGCTATATATAAAACACTCAATACACTAAAATTTTTATTATAATACATATTACATTGAACATTGCACTATAAATAGGAAACCTTGCAAAACTCATTTCTACACTTAATGCACTGTGTGTATTGGCTACATATTACATTGAACATTACTCTTGATTAAATAATATAGGCAGTGGTAGTAACTCTTTGTTATATACAACATAATTGTTAATACAAAAAGCTTATAAAAACACTGTTAGAAATACACATTGAGGGGGAAAAAATTACAGATTAAATTAATTGCAGTTAAAAAATTACATGTGCTAGATACATTAAATACCGTATTTACCATGCACTATACATTTCATAATATGCACGTTAACACACTGCTATATATAAATCACTCAATATACTAAAATTCACAGAATGCAATAATATTTACATACATATAACTACTATAATATTTACATTCTGTGCTCTTGAATACATTAAGTTGTAGTACTACAGTTATAATTACTATGCTTCCTGCAGCTCAAAGCATAGCTCTGCATGCTACGAGCACTTACACATTTTACCAAGGTACTATACACAGTGTGCTATACAATACATTATTCACAATACGCTACACAATATTCTATTTATAAAATGCACATGCTGACAATATTGCACCCATGCATTAATATGCTCATTACAAATATACATAATTAAACTATTTACATTTGGATAATACTAAATCATATTTACATTTGTTTTTCATGTTATCAGCCTAGTGTTACTCTGTGTACTGACTCAAGACGGGCTTCTTGGAGAAGCCACTGGAAACCAGTGTGCATTGATGCTTTGAATCTCTGCGAAATTTAAGTCTGTTATTGTGGGCTGCATAATTCTAGTCCTAGTGCTTCAAGTTTGTTCATAATGCTTTTGAGCTTTTTGAGATAGGCCAGCTGCTTAATGAAGAAGCATTTATACACAATGTCAGTATCAGGAAGCCTCATGTGCCATTCTTCCATCAGAGGGCAAGACATAACATAATGATCAGGTGTACCTACTTCATTACAGACACAATGATCAGTTGTTGA